CCAGAAAGCCATCATTCACTGGATTTCGACCGTGTGAAGTGGACCTTCACGAACGCTTTCCTTTCCCATTCATCCATTTACACTGCAAATAATTACTCCAAACCATTGCATTCTACGATTTTTTTCACAAGAACCATTTTCATTGGATTAAATTATCACCAGAAAACGAAACACGTTGTTTATCATGATGCCATGCATCGTTTGATTTTTCATAAAACGTTTAAAATTACTGAAAACATTTTCTTAGAGAACGTCAAGATAAATAACAGAAGGAAGCTTTTTAAACACTTAGAATGCAAACAGTAAAAATAATTCTAATAATGCAGTGCGCCAGGAAAGCCTCTTCGCACTGAGCCGAGTCAGGGCCTGGTATTAAAAACTGCAATTATGTTGGTAGAAACCTATTCACTGGCAAACAAGTGAAGGGGAAAACACTTCCAACATCTATTATATTGTGGTGAGTACGCAGTACACAATTTACGTTTTGAATCTGCAGCTTGAGCTACCAACCCAATTTATTTTTCAAGCACTCTCACTAGCATGTTGCCAATGCGGAGAGACTTTCCAGACGCGCTATATCACTTGCTTAAAAAGAACTCTACACTAAACTCCAAAACAACGTCCGCGAAAACTTCACCCTCGTAAGACAAATCCATTGAAGAAACTGAAAGCTACAACCAGAAAACAAATGTCCCCTCTCGCGTCTTCTCAGACGCGACAAAGGCGTCAGCTTGCATCAGACCCCCTCCCCCATCCCCCCACCCTCCCCCGTCTGGAGACCAGGCGCCCTGAGGCGGAGGTCGTTGGGTCGACGCGCTGCCCGCGCTGCCCTTAAAAAGCAGCCGGGCCGCGGGCCCATCGCGGGAGCCGGCCTCGCTCGCTCTCCTCGCCGCCGACGCCACATACTGGGGCGCGGGCGGCGGCGCAGCAGTGACCTATATCCGCGCCTCTATTCTTGGGCGCCTCGTCTGGTGCCGTCGGCGACGCCGCTGCCTTCGTCGCTGTCGCCGCTGCCGGCGGAAAGGATCGCTCGCTGCTCTCTCCCACTTGAGAAGCGCTCCCTGCACTCTCCCACGCTCTCCCGCGATTCACTCCGGTTCAACAGATGCGTTTTCGCCCACTCTGAACCGATATTTTCACATTCGACGTTTTGAGTGAAGGTGTCTGAAAGCACTCGAGTCAATTCAAATTCTCTGCCAAATAGCTGTTGATGCTGCTAAAGTCACACTACGTAGACTTAGCTTAAGAATGCATGGTAAAATTAGGTGACAACAACACATCTGTAGTTTCACATCATCATCACATCACATTTTGTCATCAAAAGTATCCGGACACGTGGCTGAAAATGTTCAGTTCGTGCCGTCCTCCATCGGTAATGCTGGAATTCCATAAAATGTTGGCCCACCCTTAGCTTCCACTCTCGCAGGCATACTTTCAATCAGGAGCTGGAAGGTTTCTTGGAGAATGGCAGCCCATTCTTCATGGAGTGCTGCACTGGGGAGAGGCATCGATATAGTTAAGGCCTGGCACGAAATTGGCGTTCCAAAACATCCTAAAGATGTTCGATAGGATTCAAGTCAGGACTCTGTGCTGGCCAGTCCATTACAGGGATGTTATTGTCGAGTATCCATTGCGCTACAAGCCGAGCTGTATGAACAGGTCGATTGTGTTGAAAGACACAATCGCCATTCCCGGATTTTTTCTTCAACAGTGGGAAGCAAGAATGTGTTAAAAACATCAACGTAGACGTGTACCGTGATAGAACTACACAAAACCACAAGGGGTACAAGCCATGAAAAACACGGCCACACCTTAACACTATTTTGGACGTGTCCGGGTATTTTGATCACATAGTACTATATCAATTAAATCTTTGAATTTTCCTCATAGGAAAGACATAATGATATTTATTGTTTCGAGACCTCGTTGGTCACTGAGGGGGGGGGGCTTCCCAGACTTCAACTTTAAACTTCAATATTCATTAGAAATCAACATTTCTTTGTGTGGATGTCATAAATGTTAGCAAATAGTTCGAGGCGAAATTAAGGATTTATTTCGTTGTATATTTTATATTCCGGACATATTCATTTGTAAGTTGCAAAATTCACATTTTTATTTACGCTGTTCTCTGCATTTGTCACAGCTCATACATAGATTCCAACCTACGTGTACGCGCGCACACCCATAGTCCCTCCCACAATCATATTTTGTTTCATACACGATAAATTCATGGGCATCCATAAGGTTGACAAGATGACCATCTTGTGGAAATGACACATGACGTAAAATAAAGCACGTCGTCGATCTAATTCGGCTCTCAACGACTTCTAATTTGAATTCGGGACGGCGGGGTATTTTTGTCATGGTATGGGTCGCGAACACAGCACAAAACTTGTGTTGTCACTGACCATTCCTTCGCTGAAGACACAGAGATAAAAAATGCAAACATCGATATATATACACCAGGTTTAAAATTCGTAACTCCAAGTTATTGATTATTCAACAAGAAGAAAATCAAATTGATACATATAGGAATATGTAGATATTCGTCTCTAAAAAATATACATTTGTGCGAATAAGAATGCTCAGAACATTACAAAACGGAACATTACAACGAAAGGATTGTTTTGACGCGAGTTTTATGAAAGTAATCATGGAATTCCAGATTTGTACCCCTTCTACATAGCAAAATTAAATAAAACAATTAAAAATAATGCGTTTTGACCACGTAAATTAGTATTCAAGTTACACTTTTAAGAAAATATCTTGTCTCTACTCGCAAAAAGAATGGTTTTGAGAGGAGATGGAAAGCTCATGAAAGCCCTATTTAAATACATGAAAAATCTAATTATTTCCGTACGCACACTATGCATCGAAAATCGTTCAAATTTGTGGTGCTTTTGATAAAAAACATTTATCTTTAATATGATGCTACTGTAAGTTCGAAATTTTAAGCTCTTCTTTACAGAAAATGTTTGAGTTTACGAAGAACTTCATTTGAAGTCGTTTGAAGCACTTCAACTCACAAATACAATAGTGTTTACAAATTGTACGAAATGTGCATATTAAAGACGTGAAAGATCTTTCAAAAAATTAATATTTGTGTAATTTTTGAAAAAACAAAAATACTCTGAAATGAACTTTACGTCATATTAAAGAGTGCAATTAGAACTATCCGGTCGAAAAGTTTGAAGAAAAAATTTGGAGCCATTTTTGAAAAATTTGGTTTTTGTAATTTTTTAAAATTGCAAATATTGGTCGCAATATTCCTCGAAAACGACTATTTTTTAATGTACATGGGATTATTGAAAGAGCAGATTATGGACAACAAACTTTATTTCAAGGAAAAATAGCTTATCTTCAATTTTGTAGTTATAGGAAAACGCGGAGAAAAATTCAAACTTTTGCAATTTTCGAAAATTACGAGTTAACCGTGAAAATCGGACCTATGTCACGTTTATAAGTATATTTTACTCTGTTCTTGCAAAAAATTTAAAGAAAAATTTTATAAAAAAAATTAAAATGTCTGGTGAGCTTCATGTAAAGAACGGAAGGTACCCGAAAATTTTAAAGAATGTTTTTCAAAATCAAAGCGTCAACTCGAGCCAGATAGTCAGAGGTTTCTTCATTTTTGAAATACTTCTACGTGTAATTTAGGCGCTAGTAGTGACCCCCAGACGGACAGATGGACGTTTTGAAGAGAACCACTTTTTTGGTATCAGGGGACCTCAAAAACGTGTATTTCCGTTGAAATCTCGAAATCGATTTTCCTTAGCATTACATAACTTTCCCTATGTATACGGGAAAGTAAAAATTATAACTCGAGAAGTAATCGCCCGTTCGTCATGACACAAGCATAAAAATATACAGAAAAAAGGCTATTTAATTATGCGAAAATCCAAAAGTAGATTTTTTTAAAATCTTAAACGATTCCGTCTGACCAGCATCTAATAGTACAGACATGTATACTAATGATCATTCACTCGAGAAAATATTCCTATTGAAACAATTCGGCTCTTGTTCTGCATATGCAACTATATAGAACAGCCAGCGGAAACTGAGTGTGCCGTATTTTGGGCCGAGTTCTGGCTAGCGACGGTAGCGCCAGCCACTTGTCGGGGCCGTTGCTCTGGAGAGGGTGACCGCCCATGTAAACATCACGACCACCTCGGCATTCGGGACCGTGCCCTCGTTGCCTCCGCCCGCTCCGCCTATAATCTTCGCCTCGCTAAACTTATTCATCTGTCGAGCGATGATGTTCCCTCGAAAACTCTTTGCACCCTCGGCTTCGCGCTTGCCTAAGAACCGGACGGGAAAAGTACATAAATTACTATTTTCCAATATTGCAGAACAGTATCTACTACCAGGAGTCTGGAAGACCATACATACAATGACAGCTAAACACAGCTTTAAGCTCATCTCGTATATTAAAGACTTTCTTAATATAGTTTATAATTGCTCGGCAATCATATTCGCATTGTTATAATCATTAATCCAACTGTAAAACAAGACACCGAAGTTAGTTACACTGAAGTTCCGCAAAACTCGCCACGTTCAGGCGGTAACTTCCTGGGCAACCTCCCAAATCCAATTATCGCACAAGTCATTGGCACGGCTGACGAAGACGGAAGCCCACTGCCGGCCGCAGTGCCCAACAGGTAGGGCAGCGGCAGGGATCTCGGAGCGCGGGGGCGGAGAGCGGCGCGAAATTGTCCCGTCCTCGTCTCGCGCGTCCTCCGCCCGCGCCTATTTTTACCGCGCCAATCATGAAAGGTGGGGCGCCCTCTTTATCCTGGACGGCAAAAACAACGTGCAAGGATTTCGCACGCCCCCCTCGACGCAAGGGAAGGGAGGGGGCGGGCAGGGGCAGGAGGGGGCGGCGGCGTTGCCAGGCGCACGCCCGCGCCGCGCCGCGTCGCCCTGGAAAGCCGCAAGCAACCTGAGCCGACGGCGCGCGCAGCGCCATCTGGGGTGCGGATAAAAACAGGCGGCGAGAGTCGCTCAGAGCTCCACTTCTGGTCCACACTTCAGAGCGTCGGCTCGGCCTAGGAGTCTCGTAGTAGCCCTCGTGCGTGCACCGCCCACACACACTCGCAACCATGGTGAGTAGGTAGCCCGCGTGTTGTGGGAAGGCAGCGGCCGACGCCGACGCCGTCGCCGTCGCCGTCGTCGTCGAAGTGAAGTCCACGGACGAGCGGCGACCACAGAGTGACGATGGCTATAACGGTGGCCTCGGGGGCCGGGCCGCCCCCGCGCGAGGCCCGGGGTGCGGGCGAGAGCGGCCACCTCCCGGGAGTGCGCGAAGGGGCGGGCGTGACGAGTGGAAGTTTGACGAGTGCCGGTGCGATCTCGAGACCCCGCCGCGGGGTCACTTGCGATGCCGCACCCTCCACGAGACGAGGACGGTGCCGCGCGGCGGACGGCGGAGGTCGACCTCCCGCGAGACGCCAGGGCTCGATCCGTGGACTTCGGCGAGACGGCGGCGGCGAAGGCGAAGGCGATGGCGACGAAGGCTCGGGTGCGCCTCGTTGAACGGGATACTCATCCTCTCGTTTTTGTTTTTGCAGACTGATCTCAGCCGCAATGACATCGACAGTAAGTACCTTTCAAGCAGCACTCGCGATCGTAATATAAGGTAGTTGTAGGATATGGTTAGAGCAATGCGTAATGGTAGCAGTAAAACGTAAATTTCCCTTTTTAGTTCAGCACGTGATGTGATCGTTTTAAGATTATCTGTATTTATTCAAATGCCAATTACCATTCTGATTAACCTCACTTTAAAAAATGAATATAGATATGTAAGAAATTGTTCCAACATTTTATAATTACATTTAACCGATATCATTATTTAAAATTTAATTTTAAATGAGAACTTTTAAATGAGAACACAAAAAAAATTGTAATGAGCAATTTTTAATTTCTTCTTACAAATCAAATACTGTTCTATTTCTCGGGAAAAGAAAAAGTTCGCATTGAGTGGAATTAGTTTTTGAATCTCATCACAACAGGTATTTTTTCACGAATATATTTATATGTTCATTTATATTACTAATAAAACATAAATAAATTATAAAATAACTGTCACGAATTCAAATCTTACCGAATGTTTGCGAATGAAGAGCTTTATCAAAGCACAAAATCTCAAAGATGACCAATGAGTACTATTGTTAGACGATCTGCCGCGTAATCAAATTCACATCATCGTTCTTGGAACTGAATGTGATCTAGGTTTATTTTAGATCAAAACTTCGTAATATATCTTTTACAATCGTATGACAATAAAGGAAGCAATAGAATTATTTTTGGAACCTTTCCATTTTCCCCGTCATATTTTGAATTAGATTTTCTCTAGAGAAAGTGTAACGATAACATGTGAAATTGAAATAAAGGTAGGAATAAATAAGTGGATTGGGGTGGGGCGCATGGAATAGGGGACCTTGAACGGCCGCCGGACGTCGGCGGCGAGGGCTGCGGCAGGCGTCACGCGTGCCTCAAAATAGATACGCGCGCGTGATCATATATGGCGACGGCACATCGCTGCGGCCGTGCCGGCAAGGGCGATGGAGGCGGTATTCTTGGCCGCGGCCCCAACGCGCCGACTGCACCTTCCCCTCCCTCCTCGCGAACGACCTGTGGGTGGCGCTCACGTGACCGCTATTCTATTGTTGTCCGAAGACAGATTCAATATGGCTGCTTGCGGGTAATGCTTTTCTTGGTTCGTCCTCTCAAACTGCCTCCAGAAAAACTGATAATTCGAGTAGCTATCACAAAAAGCATGAAATTTTTTAGCTTTAAACTTGGGTTCATTGCATTGGTCAAGAAACAAAGAGCCTCATTTTCCTCGCAACAGGCAAAATAACTTTTGTAACGATCATACGTTAGTAGACGAAAACGATTTCTCCAATAAAAAGTATTCCATTACGAAATCAAACTAATATGTTTGGAGAATAAGATCACGTATATTATTTTTCTATTATGTGTTACTTTGTTGATTTCATACTCTCACAATCTGAACAAACTTTGTTAAAGGAAAGTAAATTTAATAGAATGTGACGAATTGTACTTTCACACTACTCGTATTAAGGATTGGTTGAGAAAAACCCGTCTAATTAAGGCGTGCACAAATGCAACCCGCAACACGCGAATCTCAACGATCGTCCATAAATCAAAAACGGTCGAACCTTTAAACCTCTTTTCCGGAGCCGCATGCTTAGATTTCCTCCTGTAAAGAAAAAATGTCGTCTTACGGGACCTATAAGTATAATATTTTTGCAAGAGGGGTGAGGAGTGGGTGGGTGGTAGGGTGCTCTCCTGGATATCCGCATTCCGTTGTTAGATTTAATTGCGCGGACGTCGCCGTGCCGATTCTGTTTACGAGGATAGGGAAAACTTTTCGACGGTTCTTCCATGTGATGAATCATTGCGCAAAGAATTTGTCTTTAGATGGGTTTATAATTCGAAAGTTAAAACTATATTTAAGATTATTGAAATAAATGTTAAGCATCTTTAAGTCAAAAAATCCATTTTTCTGTATGTCCCTGAAACATCATGCCATATTGAAAACGTTTTCCAAAGATATGTTGAGAAATAATATAGTTCTAAAATGAAGGTATTTTTGCTGCGATGGTGGTTGCAATTGTAGCTTTTACGATTCTTGGAGTTTTAGAGACGGAAATAAAAGAAAAAAATCTTATTAAAACAAAAAGAAATGTTAACCAATTATCCGTAAGAATGTCAAAAAAACAAAATAAAAATCTCAACAAAATCCTTAACGAACAATACATGTTCTAAAAATTGTGGCCCTAAACGGCACACATGTTTCTTCACTTCAAAATTTAATGAATTCCTTTTACAGGGGCGAACTTTGCCTTCTCCATCTACGACTTCGAGGGTGAAGGCGTCGTTGATGCCATTTATTTGGGCGACGTGCTCCGCGCGCTCAACCTGAATCCCACCCAGGCCATCGTGGAGAAGATGGGCGGCACCAAGAAGAAGAGTAAGTTGTAACTGTTACTCGGTGTAATATTATTTTAAAAGGAAACATATTCAATAAGAAATGGAAAACTCTGGTTTTCTTACAATCTTCTTGTAAGTCTTACAACAAAGAAGTCTTTAAAATATAAATTTTAACCTGATTACGATAAAATATGACAATTCACAATACAGGGTTGAAATGTGAAAGTAAAAGTTATTTGATGTTTACATGTTTACGAAATTCGTCTAACCGTACTTAAATATGCGCAAGCACTACTGTTTAATTTACAATGCACTGCAGTGTACAATCATTATCATGAGAATATAATGTATGGTTAAGGATGATTCGTGCGTCTTTAAAGAAAATCCCTCTAGATTTTTTTTATTCCGTGAGTAAATAAGAGAAAACCTGTTTCTCGAAAATACCAACAAAATTATGGCCGTTAGTTTAAGTGTCCAAACGCGATAAAAACTACGATTTTGAAATCTTATGAGAATCAAGGAAACTTTTGTAATTTTTAATTTCACTAACCGAGCATTTATCATTTGCCCATAACACGCTGAAATATAACTATTGGAGACAATTCCGTAATATATTATAATTTTTTATGACTGTTCGGGTTATTTCTCTCAGTGAAATGCAAGAAAATCACAGTATTTCGTTACGATTGAGGTACAATATTCTCGTGTTCACATTCTACTCCACACATTCTGTCATTATTATTTAACACGCAGACGAGAAGAAGTTGAAGGTTGAAGAATTCCTGCCCATTTTCGCCCAAGTCAAGAAGGAGAAGGATGTTGGCTGCTACGAGGACTTCCTGGAGTGCCTGAAGCTCTACGACAAGGCTGAGGACGGCAAGATGCTGTCTGCTGAGCTGTCCCACACTCTGCTTTCCCTGGGTAAGAATGGAGCGATTACGCATTTTAGTCAATGCTGCTAATAATAAAAAAATAGTATGGGATCCAAAGTCTGAAGGTATTTCTAATATAAACCTTTATAAGAATGTCTCATAATAAATGTTACAATAGTGCATATAGAGATGTCGAAAGTGATCACTAAATGATCACAAGTTATCACAGAACAGGTAGGAAATTTCATTTAACGAAGATTCACATAGGTTTTCCCTTTATTTTTGGGCAACTTCTTACGTCACCTCACCATTAGTTAGGTCACGTTCTGACGCAGTCAAAATTTCATGTTCTTGCGACGCAAGTGTACACGGGATTACCCAAAAATCAGGGACAAATGCCACATATATACAGTAAATGCATATAACTGTTATAAGCGAATTCCCACTAAGTGCCTGTTCTTTTGCAAAAAGTTCTCATTTTGGATCTTCTGCGACCCCTAGAAGTTTGTAACATTTATTCTCAGATACCAGAATAATAATTTTAGGAGAGCATTCTTTCTGCGTATTACCATAAACTGTTTGTTTGTACGATCTTGAGGTATACGATCAGTGGTGGCTCGTGCCAGTTGTAGCACGTTTGTGCTACAGCAAAAATCGCTATTTGAATATATTAGTTAGGTATATGTAATGTGCGTTTCATTTGCGTATTACCCTTGAGAGCCATTTGTTACATCACAATTTTCTTGCAAATACTGCTAATTAGATACAAATGATACGCACGTGTACTGCAGCCCCGATAGTATTCCGCTGAACTTGGAGATGCTACTCAATCGCGACGACGGTAAAGCATGAGCGATGACGAACTGTAAGCTACCAGCGTGTTGAAGAGCATATAGTTTCAGAATGTTAGTGGAACAGTCTAAAGACCTGTGGACGAAACCAGAGCCGCCAGAGGGAGAGCGCGAAAGACAGCACGCGGGACAGTGACAAAATTCCAGAGGGGGGGGGGGTGAGCAAACTTGCTTAGAAGGCTGAGAATTGTACGCACCAACCACGTCGGTTTTTATAAAAAGTCGTTTATAAAATTATACAAATGTTTAAATATCAAGTTGTGTTTAAACGAACACATTCCAATGTTTATATGCACTGTTCATCTTACAAACGTATAAGAACAATTAACACTTTGTCCTTCGATTCAGGGTGAGCACCTCTGGTCCCACTAAACATGGGGGAGTTCTAGGCATCTTTCAAATATTCATGGAGATTTGCAGACCTCTGGGTTTGTGAACAAGGAAATTGTGTTTTTTTTCTTGTTCTTTTCCCTTTTTTTATCATTCTACCATAATTTTAATCACTTACTTTTGAAGTCGCGAGCCACTGGTATCTATCTGTGCCATATTTTGAAATATGAGACAAAGATGCTTGTAGTGGAAACACACAAGCATCTTCATATTCAGTCAAAGCTGACAATCATCCTCAGTACCAAATTTTCAGGATATTTTGTGTTTAAAATGTCATGCATGAAAACACATTCAAAATGTGCACAATAATTTCCAAATGAAGCAATACTAACCATTTTGATGTGGGTGAAAGTATTTTTATCTTTTATGAATAATTTAAATTAATTCAATGTACATTTATTCCTTGGTGTAATAAATTATACATACCATATCTAGAAAATGAACTCATCTATTTACTTACAGCCTTTAGTTCAACTGGAGGTGTAAAATTAGTTCCTTCTACACAATAAATCACCAATCAATAAGCCTATACAAAGATTGCACATAAAAGTAGAAATTATGTTGTTGTTTTTTTTTATATTGGAGACTCTTTCGCCACACTCTCAAGCTCCCCGTCCTTATTCTTTTCACAAATACAAGAAAATAATAAAATGTTGTAATTACTTGAGACTACAATAATCTCTTTACTAATGCCATAATAATTCACACTTTTATTATTTCTTCTTTCTATAATTTAAGATGAGGAAGAAAAAAGTAGCCTAAATTACAGCTGATATAAGATAATTAGTAATATTCATATATTTTCAAAATATAGAAATATTTTTAATTTTTTTCTCTTTCTCCAAAGCAGTTCAGATTATTGAAAATTCATAGTTGGTCATAAGAGACATAATTGGATTTCAACTGTACTTAGTAATCCTGAAAGAAATTACAACCTTAACCACTCTCTTGCTCCCACTCTAAGGCTCTAGAAAAATATATATTTTGGATTCTGCTTATGAGATAATCTTTTGACAGGTGAGCGCCTTACTGATGCTGAATGTGATGCTATCCTTAAGGATTGCATGGACCCTGAGGATGAGGATGGCTTCATTCCCTATGCCCGTAAGTATTTATGATCACAAGTACTTTTGCTTTTATGTTCTCCCTTTACTGATTTCCAAAAACCAAAATTCACAAATATAAGCACAGCAATTGAAACTCTCAAATGTAAAACATATTGGAATATGTTTCTTTAGAAAATCACTTTCAAGTGAATATTGAGACCCTTTTCTCTATGAAAATTCTTGATAAGTCTAATAATTCCTTGCACAAAGATATTTTACCATTTCAGTTTGTTTGTTAATTTTCTCCTGCATTTTGATTATTTTTTTCTGAATTTTGTACAAGACAAAACAGATTCCTAGTATAAAATTTTACATACAAATTTACATACAAAATTACATACAAATTTTACATCTTTTACTTATTTGCCTATGATAGTGCAACATACTTTGTTCCTTCATATCCTCCAATGAATGAAAACTGTTTTGAAATCTGCATGTTTATCTAATATTTTCAGCATTCATCAAAAAGCTGATGTCTTAAACCACCCACATAGATGACTCATGTAAATATGTATCTGGATCGTAAGTAAGGTCACCACAATCTCTATGTACATCAATGTTCTTAACCTACTTGTCAGTTTTCATATGCTGCTCAGCTCATATCTTCATCATTCAACAACTCTGTTGTCTCAGCCAGTGAACGTCTTTAAATGCAATTTTCTTAATAAAATGCTTATTTCTCTGTGACTAAGTAACATGGATACTTGAAATATTTGTTGCTGAGAGCATGGCTTTTGAAGTACTGCAACAACAGCTGATAATTCTCTCAAGATTGAAAACTACAATTGAATCTTCATAATTGTTTTCATCTTTCAAACTGAAGCAAATAAACATTTCGAGTTGAAAATAATAATGAAACATTGAACTCTCATATTTGAATTTCATAGACATATTAAAAGTACACAACTAATTCTCACAAAATATGCTGATAAATTATCACATCTTTATAGCTGGAAAGTGAACACTGACCATTTCACTGAAGTCATGAACGCAATTCACATTCCACACCTCCACCAAATACAAAATGGTATTTCACTAAAAAATCATCCCACTTCCAACACAATTCAAGGGCCAATTTACATTTGTTTTTCCACTGTACACAATATTTATTTGCAAATTATAAAGAAATGCTGCTTTTTTTTCATTACTTAATTTAATTATTATAAATTTTTCTAGCAATTAATTTATTTTGAAACTTGAAATTTTGTGTGCATCACTAATACATGGTAAACTAACATTTTAGTTATAAAGTAAATTTATGGTTAACTTAAGCTTTTATAATTTATAGAGCTTTATTGCTTAATGAAATTTCAAAGTAAATTTAATACCCTCATAAGTTTGTTGTCTCATAGAAATAAACGAAACAGTGAAATGAACCAAATCAAATTTGTTTCAATTAGTTAATCCTTTGTTATGCTTGATAGAGTGAGAATGAAATAGCATGCTCTTACGTAATAGATGAATTAAAGATAACAGAACCCTAATTACATAAATGATCAAGTATTGTATAAAATATATTTATAATTTAATTTAATCTCAGAAATATCTTAAAAAAACAAAATTATTTCTTTAATACTACAAAACTCATTATTGTGTATTTTTGTAGTAATCTTGTAGCTTTTAAATAAAACTACTTGACCTTAGTGATATTTAAACATCTAAACATTGTATCTATTTAGATAACCCAAATGTAACTAATAACATAATTAAATCACAAAGTAATAATTTATTAATTGAAACAAAGTAGATGTAGAGAACTTACATCAAGCAAAAGTGACACACTTGGGTAAAGGGACAGTTAATTAGTTATAATCAATCAAAGTTTTCTTCGTGTCGTGGTCCTCAACAGAAACTTAAAAGCCCAATCCACCAAACTACATGAATGGAAATAATTTATTATTTTATGTTTCAGCCTTCCTCAAGAAGGTGGTCTCAGGCCCACCCACAGAAGCACCAGCAGAGGGGCAGTAAACAAGTAAAAACTCTTCAAAACATCACAAATTTTGAAACACTCGAAATACTTTCATGTTCAAACTAGAATAAGGGACTAATTAATCTGAATGCAGTTCCATCATGAATCAATAAAATGTGCATATGTTTTTCTTTTGGTTCTCCTTTTGATTGTGGTGATGTGGTCAACAACTTGGGACACAACCCTGGAGTATGGACAAGAAGTCATTTAGAAGAGGAGTTGTACAATTCAGAAAGTGAGCCAAAATAAGTGATTTTTACAGCTACATTCAATGTTGCTTGTGTAGGAACAACAGCATGGGCCATAAAATGTACAACTTGTACCAACTGGATGAATCATAAGAAAAAATATCTCTCTAATAAATGACATTTAAAATGACGATTGTTTACAAACTTTCCCATTTTCAAAAACCCCCAAGTCACAAAACTTCCCAACTGAATATTTTTGCCATTACTTTGTTACTTAGGTGACAAAATAAATTTATTCTCAGTACTTGTCCTTTGTACTATGCTCACAATTTCTGTTATTCAGCAAATCAAGAAAACTATTAATATAAAATGATCAATCTAAATAACCCACAATTATTTACTTCAACAGTTATAATTTACATTATGTTTGCTTTTATTTTAACCATATTTTAATTTTTTCCTGTCCCAGCAAACTGTTTTTTCTCACAATGAAGAAATCTGGAATGTTTTTTATGAATCACAGTTGAAAACTTTCTTTACTGATGACCACTCCATTAAAAGAATAACAATAGCAGAATATAATCAATGTACAAAAGAAGTAAAATCATAACCAGTTTCTCAACCCAAAACGTCTGTGTAGCTTTTTGGAGCTATTTTTGAGATAATGTTGTTTTTTTATTGCACATATGCCTCACAATATTGCGCGAAATCACCTACAATTTTCAAAACAAAATGTTCATGACATTAATAGAAGTACTCACTATGGGGAACAATTTTTAATTGAAGGAAGAATCGCTTTCATATATGTTTCAATTTCGTATTCAATATAAAGATGATTCAACTGGACTATTTAATTTTGTTGGTTGAGTCATCTCATTTTTTTAGTTACCAAACATGAAAACATATACTTTACATACATCTTTACTTTTATTCATACTTGAGACATACTTCTATTATTTTCACAGTTTTTATCAGCTTCAGCTCTATCATCAAAAAAAAGTACATAACAGACCTCGCATCAATTAGGCATTGTGAGATGGCTATTTTTACACCAAGGAGTTTGTGTCTTGGATAAAAGAACAAAGATAGTAAAATTGTGAAAATTCCCTGTTCAGACATGAATGTAATTATCTCTAAATATTTCAGTTTTACTATTGCATACATTTTCACCATTTATTCTCTGTACACTGTAGATATGCTATTTCTCATTTAAAAGAAAAGAACAAAAATAAACAGTTTGTATTACATGCGCAGATGATTGTTTATTTTTTCTCGGTGAAGACTGTTAGTGTGATTGTATTCAATTAATAATCTTAGCACAACATTTAATAGAGTTTTTACGAAACAATTAATTTTATATTAAGTCATAAAAATGTGTATCACATAATACAAAAAATCATTTAGTTTTGTTTAAATGAAAGAATGCACATGAACAATCTCTCTCTGGTGATGGTCATAGTGTAAAACAAAGAAAGATACTGCTGTCAAATACTGACAGATGAGCAGCAAATTGAGATTTTTTTTCACAATTGTAAGTTTATCATAACTCTCTAATGCTAGCCAACATAGCGAACTGTTAACAATTGCATTGACATTGACATTGTCTGACATTTTTTTTAGATGTAAATTTTTGCCCATGATTTCTACAAATTATCAAAGTTCTCAGGTGGGAGAAGAAAATAAAACAATTTTTGGTTCATCAAAGTATGTGCTTTATTAACAAAACAACTTACAAAATGGGATGAACAGTTATTAGTAATTAAATAGCCTACAACAAAACAGACCTGAAAATAGTGTTAGAGACACACTGCAATGAAGTTTGCAGAAAACCAATGACAATGTGGTATGTAAACCAACAATGACTATCACAGAAAAAAGGTAAGAAACATTTCTGACTTACATACAAAAGAAAGGTCACGGGTCAACAAAAACTTAATCACTAGTAGAATTCAAATTTTCCATCTTTGTAAACTGTACATCTGTTCTTATAGCAAATACTCAATTACTCTTCGATATGTACATAAATTTGAATGGAACTGATTTACATACACAACAACACACAGTTTATAAGTTCAAAAGGTTTACAGTAATATCTGAGTCCAGAAATTAAATCTGCTACTCATACAAGGCACATTTTAAGATTTTTTTTTTTAGTCTCTGATTAATTGTGAATAATTTTTGTTAACCAATTCAGAAAATGTTACACATAATTAAAATGCAAAATACATTTCTGAAAAATAATCAAATTACAAAATAATAAAGCATATTTGATAAATGAAAATGTTTTGATTTCATTACTATTAAACAATACAGAAAAGTAATAGAAGATAATTCGATCAGCACAAACTTATTATCTGATAAATTCATGAAATTCCCTGAAATTCCCATACTCCCAAAGGAAAAAGAAGTTCAGCATTTTTTACCCTGGTTGATACTCTTCGAGCAATACAAATTCAACCAATATTACTTCTCAATTTACCTGAAAGTGGACCAAGGCAGAGATTTTTTTGTATGACTAAACTTGAAAAGAGAATTTGTTATTGTTTCTTCAAATATGCATTCTACCTATAATTCCAAAAAAATATAAACTCTTGGAACCGGGATGTTTATAAAACAGACATCTATTATTCCCTTCTACTTGCAGGCATCTGCACCTTCACACCGAGGGATTTTCTCCTCTGCAGCAGGAAGTTGTGTGTACACAGAAATACCCATCTCACTATCCGTTACTGTGGATACAAAATGAGAAAAGGAACGGGGTTATGTTACACACAACTCCAGCCTACATACACCATGCTGAAGGATTAAACAGAAAGGAACCAACACCCTGAGAACTGAAAACAAAACCACTACACACATAACTTAAAGGAATCTTAATATACTTCATTTACTTGTTTCAGGGTCACATATTTTAGTGGAACGGTTGCCAGTAAGGGTTAGACCAATTTTTTAAGCTTTCATCCTAGACATGAAGTTGACATTAATCAAACATAAGAGTTTCTACATTAAAAGAAAGAATTTTCTGACCTCTATATTTTTTTTAAATAATCTTTCAAGCAAATGGAAAATTTTGTGTTTTTTTTTTCTTATGCTATACAATTTAAAATACAAATTTGGTAAAGTGCAGTGTAAATTTGAAAGGAAATGATTATTGGAAGAGCAGAGATAGTACCCTGAATCACTACATAAAATTCAGGATAATGTAGAGGCATGGCAAAATTGAACTTCATTGAAGATGTTTTCAGTGCAATAGTTTCCAGCAACATATTAATTCATTAATTGTTATATCAGTCCTGGGGCAGCAATTTTATGATTCTCTGTAACTGCTATTTTAAAATTCTTCAATTTCAAGAATTCCTTTTCCAAGGCCACTCCAGAACATATTAAGATAACGAAATAAATAAATTAGATATTTAATGTCTTCTTCCTACGTGAGATTCAAGGAAATTCTAAAACCTAGAAATGAAAAGTACATTTTTTTGTTGTTTTTTTTTTAGTGCAATCTGGTTACCACAGATTGTACATGGACATTGTTGTATGCACAATGCCTTTCATATATAAAGTAGTTTCCATTTAAAAACGAACTAAAACCATGTAAGACAAGTGGCACAATTTGAGGAATTGTATTTCTTATAATAATCAGATATCTGTTTAACAACAAAGAATAAAAGAAAAATCCCCAAAAAATAGTGCATAAATTAAAAATAAAAAATCATATTAACTGAAAACAAACAATGGTAAAAGGTAAAATAATACACAAAAAACGTGCATATGGAAGTCAGATACATAATTTCTTTATGAGACTCTCAACTGCAGATCATCCTTGCTTCTTCCTGTATTTGAAAATATATATACAATGCATGTATTTTACCTGTAAGTTAAATCAAGTTTCAATATTCAGACAAAAACAAATATTACATTTATAATGAAAAAAAGAAGAGTTATACTTAATACCTGCACTTTGTAATGTGTATGTGAGAAGGCTTTTATATCTTGTATTGATCTTGCAGTCCTTGGGATGGAACAAAGCCCTGTGTTTGTAAATTTTCGAAGAGATTCTCTATAACTGCAAATACATTTCACTCTTAGAAAGATGACACCAAATGTTTTTCTAGCATTTGTAGATTTTTAAAAGCAACTCCTTTACTATTTACCTTGTTTAGTTCTTGAATTCAAGAACATTTTCACAATTTCAAACCGAGGCAAAGTTGCTAAATTCTCCAGAAATTTGAGAATCAGAGGACCATTATGAATAAAACATTTTTCTAAACATTCCAAAATAGAATGGAGCATAACATCGTCCAATTTGTTTCCTATTACTATAAAAAAAGTGAATTATCACATTTAAATTCATATTACCAGAAAAGGAATAAATATTTAATCTTTCTCTTCTTTTCTTCCTCTTAATCTAGAAAATCTTTAACAAAAGTCAATCTTGTGATTCAATATTAAAAGAATCACATATGCTTAACAGTAGGTAATGTTAACATTTAATGCATTTGTGAGTTTTAAAGATTTAAGAGTAATAAGAGAGTAAATGCAAAAATTACTAAAGTTAGAATTCAAACCTATTTCTTTAAAACATTACTTTGTTGATTTGGATATACTATTATCAACAAAATAATTTGAATGATCACAGAAGAATTTACAAGGGAATATGACACAAATGAACTGGCTGTAAAAGTACTTACAAGTGTGTAAGTCCGATGGATCAATTCGACGCAAAACAGGTGCTAATAATGCAGAGTCTTCTCCTTTGGCAGCTTGAAGGGCATTAACAAATTCAAAGGGTGTTGAAATTTTTACAATGTTGCCATCCTCAAGGGAAAGTCCTTGAATTGCTTGAACCTTTAAGAACAGAATGCACTTATAAATCATCAGAGCTCAAGAAAATCTGTTGTATTTTTATAGAACAATTCTTGCAGCACAAATTATTGATACATTTACAGGTTTTTTTTTTTTTTTTTTTAACTATTCAAATATTTTACATAAGGAGCTAATAACTGGATTATGAGCAAAACAAATTACACCAATTTATAAGTAATACATTCTTGTGCTATAAATTCCTTGGGTTCATATTCAGTACTGGCGAACATTTACAATTAGCATGCCCCTTACTATTATGTTGCTTTTCATCTCTATAAATCAATGACCCGTCCCATACTCCCCAATGCATCTCTAGTCTAGATCGCCACAATCTATTAAAAAATATTCTCCGAACAAACTAAATAATATATTAATTAGTGGTACTACAGAATGGCACAGACTTCCTCATATAGTTTTCTCATTTTTGAGCAGGGTTAGCTCTTCGGTAAAGTACAATCTTCCCAGCTGCCATCTTTTGCCACCCCAAGAACATTTTTTTCCCATTTTCTGAATTATTTTCTCCCCTATCGGTATAACTCAAATATGACTTTAACATTATTAAAGAAGAGTAAAACCTCGTTCTACATTGAAATTTTTATTAAAAACTTTGGAGCCATTTTGAGAAAATGTTGTTTAAGCATCTTTGTAAATGTGATTTTGGATCTCTTTTTCACAGAAAAACCAATGAGTTTTTAAGAAACTTTATTGGAAATCATTTAAAGCACTTCTACTGACAAATACAATGATGTATAGATATTTCTGGTAATTGAAATATTAACAGCATGAGAGATATTTAAAAAAAACAAACAACAAACATTTGTTTAAGTTTCAAAGAAACAAAAGAAAAACGTCAAAATGCATTTATATCCTGTTATTCAGTTCTTTTAGGACTATCTGTACAAAAAATTTAAAGTAAATATTTGGAGACACTTTTGAGAAATTCTTGTTTCTGAAATTTTTTAATATTGCCCATATTTCACTCAAAATTGCGTGATAACTACTCAAATTTTCAAAAAATGTACACGACCTTTATGAAAGAAGTTATTATGGAATCAAATTTTATTGGAAGAAAAAATCTTTACTTTAATATTGTAATAGTAGGAAGATGCCAATTAAAATTAATTTTAAGGATGTTTTGAATATCATAGTACTTTCAGTCAAGTTAGATCATCGAGGAAATATTAATTTTGATAAAAATTCTACCAATAGTTTAGGTGCTAGTGTTGTTCACAGACAAGCAGATGTTTCGTCATGAACCAATTTTTCGGTACCAAGGATCCACAAATCAAGGATTCTGACTACATACCATGTTAGAGCAAGTTATTTACTAACAAGATTTATTCACTTTCTCAGTATCAAGCCACCACAATACAAGTTTTCTGTCAAAAAATTGACATTTTTGATGCTGCATTACATAACTTTTTCTATACTATGTTTATTACTACACATAGATGAATGTATTGTCAATGTCATTACATGTTATTATCTGAGAAAGTCAAAATGAAACTGAAATCACTAATTATTTGAATATTTTTTTTAGAGAAGTAGAGCCAAAAATGGAATGTAAAATACTGATACGTGCTTTTCTTGTACTCAAAATGAAAATGATGCAATTTTGGATTTCGTATTTTTATTCCTTTATAGATTACTTACTTTATTTACTCCAAATTGTGCTAGTTCAATTTCTGGATATGGCTACAAAATTGTAGATATTTTTGCCACACACTGCTGAACAAAATTAGCTCTTAAAAAAAAAAGTCATGTATAATTTTATGTACAAGTTAATAGTTCCCACAACCTATGGGCCAGAAAGAAAAATTATTTGAAAAACCGTAATGGATCAAAAAAATATGCAAAATAGTTAATACTATTTTAAATTTACAATTGAAAATTCCAATATTCGTTTGATTTTACTCTATTCCGCAATTTGTATTCCTGCTACTTATTTCCTGTGCTTCTTGAACGTAATTTGAGAGATGTTCCTGGCCATCAAAATGAACGCAAGTATGCACCACAGGTGCATCATTTGAATTGGGTGAATTTGGATTGTATAACCATTATTTCTAATACTTAACATTAAAGAACAATTGAAAAAATTTAGCACCATAAATTTGTATGAACATTTTAACTTTAATTTTATATTACCACTGTATGCTGCCATGGGAAACAATGGAGCAATGTATATTTCCGACATTGTTGAAGGTGACAAGATAAGATATTGAAATGGGCAATTTGCGAGCATTCTTCTCTTTGTTGAATATTAACATTTTGAGGCTTTCTTTCATTTATTTATTAATATTTTTTTATTTTATGTCAAAAGAAGGAAACAAAACATTTGTTCTTCAATGAGAATTTGGGAAAACTTTTTGAGGTGAATGTACAAAGCATTTAGCACTACATGTTCAGACAAGGATGATTCATGTAAAAAAAAGCAGATTTGAAGAATATTACAATACTGTAATATTTAATAATTACTATTATATATTTTTCGAACTATTTGCATTTGCTTGTAAAAGCTTCCACTGTTAATGCATTGTAAAATGTATATCCCATTCTTGCCCACTTTCTTGCATAGTACTTACGCAGAATATTTAAAAGCTAAAACATGCATTGGATCTGTTCATTAATTCATTGAATATTTTATACACTAAATTCAATGCCAAAAATATATTTTCTTTTAAATTTTGAATAAAACATTATTTTTTACACTTTCTTCATTGACGAGATAAAGTGATATGGTTTGAGAAAGTATGTGCTGTAGGAGCACTAGTAGTTCTATGCTTTTCCTTCAACTATCACCCTCCAAACAGCTTCCTCTAACAGTCGCCCATTGATGCACTCCCTTCCTCAATACACCCCCAAATTATATAAGCATACGCCCAAGACCAGCCAGGCTCTCAGTGCATGGCAGCTAAGAGTGGACCAGAAGCCCTGTCCAGTCCACGGCCATATCCCATCCCTCCAAGATTAAGTCAAGTCAAGTCTCCTAGCTTCTGAAAGAGGCTTATCACAGAGAGAGAAAGATGTCAATGCTATGGCTGACGATGGGTCTCCAATCCAATCTTCACAAACTTACCCACTGACTCACTGATTGATACTGCTCTAGTCAACTAACCCAAATATGAGCAGACTGAAAAGATTAATCCATGCATTAAATATTCACGGTGCAACACAATTTCTGTGTTAGTGAGTTCACAATCAGATTTGGGTATTCACATTGCCTCTGATCTCAAATGGAAAGATCATGCCAATATTACCAGCACGAAAACCATTAAACTAACATATAAGGCAGCCGTGTATGATCCCCACACTTCACCAGTGTTATATACACCCAGGAAAGAATGCAACATACAACTTCTCTGAGAACTGAAAAATCTCTTGTATGAAAAGTAGATTGACCACACTTTAATTGTAGACTTTCTAACAGAAAGCTCTATATTGACTTCATTAAAACATATAAAAACATTCATGGACTTAACAATTGTAAAGTATTATAACATCATTTTAAATGTATCACCAATTTGCACCTGTGAGGAGACAAGACTATTCAAAGACAATTTTTCCAAGAATAAAAATATATGGTTCAGTAAAATTGTGAGCCATTAAAATAATTTACCTGTGAAGATAATCAAATTAGAATTCTCAAAGAATTTAAAAGCAAATTACATAACTATTTTGAATTATAACTTGAGTTTAACAATAAAATACTATGATTTGCTTAAAAACACATGCAATGTAATACAAACAAAGCCAGTACTACTGTTCATTCATTGTAATTAGAAAAAATTCAATTAATAATAATAATAATAATAACATTAATAATAAATATTTATTATGTATATTTATTATGTTAAATTATTATTATTATACTAATTACACAAATCTAGAGGGAGAGAGAAAAGAATATTTTTCTCCTCTATAGAGATAATGTAATTATTATGTTTGCTACGTACGTTATTACATTCCTGCCCTACAGCCACGAAGAAAAGAAGTCACCTTCTGAACTAAATTAAATGCCATAATTCCTCCTATTACTACTGCTGGGTTTTTTTTCTCCCCACAATAAAGAAAATTTACAACCATACTTTCACCTATAACTTGAAAACACTCTGTACTACAAATATCAATATTTTTACAGAAAACAAATACAGAATACACCCACTCCTTGGGCTTCTGATTCTGAAATTTAAAAAATTAAATAAAACAACAATATAGTGAGAATATATCTAATGGGCTGAAACATTTACAAGCAGTCTACTAGTGGTCAGCAAATTGCAAATTCAAAAAAGTGGAATCAATAAGCAAATTGGGAGTAGCAATAAAGAGAAGCAAGAAGCCTACTTTTATGGATTGCAAATTCTATAATATGAATTTGTTGCAGTTTGTGCAAAGAATATTCTATTAACACAAGTATTGTTCTACAGAAGATATATAAATAAATGAAGAAATCAGGAGAATTATTATACAATCGAAATATAATTCGGAATTTTATATCCTGATTTCTTAACTCAATAGTACAAATAAAATCAGCCAAAAGATATCCTTGAAAAAATAGCATGCGAACTACAGGCAATTATGTAGAGAACTTTGAATTTCACTGATAAACAAGACTCAGAAGAAGTACTTCCACATCTGGCAGATATGAATTCAAAACAGCACGGTTTAAAGAAGTCGCCTATTTACCCCAGGAGTTGTTTCCTCTTCCCCTTTAACGACAGTCTTCGTTGTGTATTTGCTGGCCACTTGCACTTTCACAGGCTTAATGCTTTCAGGTGGTAGCAAGCGCCTTGCTTCCATTTTTCGCCCACTCTTAACTTTGGGAGATGTCACCGAACTTTTACTGGTAGCTGCTTTACTTACACTTGCTTCTTCCTTACAGATGGTGTCACCAGTGCTCTTTAAAACTTCAGTACTGGGGTCTTTCTTCACTTCTGCCATTGTCTTATTCATTGACGTATCTCCAATTTTTAAATGAGAAGTAGTTTCATTTTCAGGTATAGAGCTAACAGTTTCAGGAGTAGGAGCAGCTCCATCAACATGTTCACACGTGATGTCCTCATCTGAATCACTATCCTCACTTCCATGGGTGCTAGTTTCACTACCTTTAAGACTAGACTCCACTTCTTTAAGTTTGGCTTGTTCAGCCTTTCGTCTTTCTTTAATTTCTTTGCATATAAGGCACCTCGGAGGTGGTCTGCGAACCCAATCAGGTACACCAGAACAATTGCACATCACTTTAGGAAGACCAAATTCATTGCATTTTATTCTACGGTCAGGAGGAGCAGGCCAAGAAGTATTAATTTTTGCTGAAGAATCTTCAATGCACGGCTCTTGATCATATGATTCATCTGGCAACTCCATAATTTTTGGCCCATCTTCAAAACTTTCTTCTTCAGCAATATGCATTCTGTTGAACATACAAATCAAAATACAAATGATAAATTGAAAATGTATTGAAACAATAATATATTGAATAATTAGAATTGAAACCATTTTTTTTGTTACTTCTCCATGAATAGCATTATTATAACTTTGAACTGGTAGAAAAAATAATGTTTGTGATAAAAATAGACCCACACACTGGAAGTTGTTCTTTAGTTTATAGTTTTTTAACTATTTTGTATATAGAAGTCTGTTAATAAATGGAACTGAAAACGGGTTATTTTTTTATACTTGTAATTCTTAGAAGTACATATATTCAATCATCATAAACAAGGTGAGCAGTTGTTGTTTTTTCTTAATAATCAAAATTAAAAGCTTATATTAATTATTGGAATTTAAAACATCTTAATAAAAATGGAATCTGGACCATATTCAAAATCATCCTCTATTTGATCAAAAAATTATTAAAATATTGTGAAGACATTTGTTTACAAATTGGTTGAAAATGCCCTAAGGGTTTCATGTAGACAACCCACAATATTATTAGTTTTTAATTTGAGGAGGCATGATATCTCCCAGATAGAGGAAAATTCTCTTTGGAGAAATTCTTGAGAACAGTTTAGGAGCTTGTTTCTGACAGATAAACAGTCAATAGACAAATGTACTCACAGATAGACCATGGTGGTCAGACAAACACACAGACAGGGAAATACAGATGGGCATATTGACAGACAACCACACAGAGAGATGAATAGGCAGATAGATGGATGGGCCAAAGGTCAGGCAGATGGTCAGACAGATAACAGGGGACACACAGACCGACACAAAGATGGAGAGCAGATGGAAAGCCCAACAGAAAAAAGGATGGACAGATGTACGAACGGATGAAAGTAGGTTGAACGGATTTGGAAAGGAACTTAATTTGTTTTTGCTAATGCATGAAAGAAAAAAAGAAAGAAAGAAAAACAGTCAATATAACTGAAAACTTAAAAAAGTTATAAACCAAAGGGTTATATAAACAGTAAATAACGCTTGTGAAGTGCTGTTTCATTTCAGTAATAAGCATAATACAAACTGAAGTTATCTTGTTGGTTTGAATAGATGGAGTGAGCAATATTTTTTTCCATTGAAAATTCAAATATAATACCAGTTTAATCTTTATGGACAAATTGGTACATGTCCATACATAGTTATTTTACTAGTATTTTCAATACCTTTTTGGTCCCCGGTTCACATGTCATACCACAATCCCAACATATTACAGTAACTCAATGATTCAAATTGACTCACCTAACACTTCTTCTGTTACTATCTACTTTTGTTTGCATTTCTTGAGCGAGAGAACTGGCCATACGATTACTAGGTTCCAGCTGAAGTATTCTCAGGAAGTCATCAAGTGCCTGAAAAAGGTACATAAACACTACATATCGAATTGCGTTAAAACATATAATAAATCTTATAAAATTTCGAAACTAGAAAATGTTTCTTGTCTTCGGAATTGTTCCACATAGAGTAAAATATCAAAATGACAATGTTTTAACATTATTCCAGAGAAGAGAAAAAGAATAGAAAAATTCTCCAAAAAGAAAGCTTAGAAAATCAGGGCTGAAATTCTAATACACAGAAAAATTAAACTAAGAAACTCTGTTGTTCCCTCTTTACATTTAAACTACATTTATTTTGTGAGAGCACATGAAATGGATGCATGTCAAAACTGTAAAAGGTAGGAACAGATGCTTAATATTTATGTGCACCATTAAAACAAATTCTGAAATCTAAATGTTATGTAACAAATTAATTAATTAATTAATTAAGAAAAGAAAGAAAGAAAGAAAGAAAGAAAGAAAGAAAGAAAGAAAGAAAGAAAGAAAGAAAGAAAAAAAAAAAAAGAAATCCACAAACAACTTTTAAAAGAAGTACATAAGGTATTGGAAAAGTTAAATAAAATCAAGGGCAAACGTTACATAAATTTTACAAACAAAATTCTTAATCTAAAAATTACTGAAATCTTAAGAAATACATACTTGCTGGTAATTACCACGATGCTTATAAGCTATTCCTCTTCGGTGCAAAGCCTTCACATTATTTGGTTCCAATTCTAGCACTTTGTTACAATCTCTTAGGGCTTCCAAATACTGTTCCAGTTTAATATCTACAAATATAAGGTAGGTTTCAAAATTTATAATCTTTCTTTTGGTAGTAAGTCAATAGACAAAGCTCAAAAATAAGTACTCACGTGCCATTGCTCTATTGTTATAAGCAACTGGAGATGGTTCAATTGCAATACTTGATGAATAATGTTCAATTGCTTCTTTATATTCCCGTGCTTTAAAGAATTCATTACCTTTATCCTTTTCTTGAGTAGCAAGGAACTGTTTCTCTGTATTAGAGTAGACTCCTAAACATCAATTAAGATAATCATTATCAAAATATTTATGAAAGCAACCAAGTCAATCAATACAAACAAACAACCAATCAATACAAACAAATTCTATTATCAATTCATTTTTCAAATAACCGATTTGTTACTCTTCTGACCTTCTACTTACATAAAATTTTTTTTAGAATTTAGGTCCTTCTTTCTGTTAACAATACTTTAATTCAGATGCACATAATGAACCGCTAAATTTACCACTAAATGCTTTGCAAAAGGTGTAAATGAAAATGTTATTGGCTATTAAATAAAACACTAAAATTATTATATATAATCATCACCACCACCATCATCATCATCATTTCTAAAAACATTTCAACAATGTCTATTTCCTTCACAAGTAGAACAATAACGCAACAATTTCCTTCACAAGTAGAATAAGTTGCCTGCGAGAGCCATGGAACCCTTTCCTCTAGGTGTACAAAGTTTTAAAAGTATATTAACTAATGACATTTGTAAAGTGTTATAGTTAAGAAGTTAGACTTATTAAAATAGTTATTATTTTAGTTATAATTTTATTATAATTGTAATTTTTATTATAAGTATTGTGATAATTACTATTAAATGCATTGGTTTATTAAATATACAATTATATTTAAAGTAGTAGTTGAATTGGAGTGTCGTGACGTGTTGTGAAGTAGTACAATAGAGAAGTAGAGTGAGAAGTGAAAGTGAAGTGCAGTGTATTTATTAGTTAAAAATTCCAAGCAGGACAATCATAAAATATAGAGGTAATGCTGTTATTGTTATTATTGTAATTATTGTTTTAAAATGCTTTAAAATTACATTATATTACTATTCTTAGTTGTAATATGTAAATTATAGTGTTCTGCCGCCAGCTTGTATACCTACCTGCAAAAATAATAAATTTATCTACCTATAAATGTATATCTTCCAATATAAAATGTATCGTATCAACATTCATTCTTCCTGGACATCAATTTATCACTGTCCTATCAACTCCAGCATTCTCTTACAGTCAGCCCTACCCATTAATACATTTAAATCTTATTTTAGTGTCTGTCAATGTAGAATTGGACATTCAGAGCCTCAAACACTGAACTACTTCCCCCCAAAGAGCATGCATGTTAGTAAAAAGCTTTTTTTTTTTTTCCTTTATTTATTTTGCAATTTATTCTGGGGTTGCCATTGCTTATTTGTCAACATCACTCAAATAAGTAAGACTTACCAGCACCTCCAACAATTTTGGCTCTCGAAACTGGTGATTTTTTCACTGAATCTTTTTCACCTACTCTCTGCTTCTTCTCAAGTTCTTCCTTTTTCTTTTCTTCCTCCAAATCCATCTTTAAAATTTCTTTGTCTGCATCGTATTTATCCCACTCTGAGTAATCCCGAGGAACAATATTTTTTACTTTCTTAGATTCATTCTGTACAAAATAGAGTATTTGTAGAAAACACAACACAAAATTAGGAACTGTTTAAAAATAATATTTTATTTTATATTTTAAAAAATAATATTTTTAAACTGAGAAATATAGACTTAAAATTACACTCAATTATGTGCAATGATTTTGTAATGCGTATTTGTCCTTGTATAAAGAGGGTGGAATCTCATTAATATTTGGGAATATACAGGACTGTAATCTGAAATGGAAACACCATGTATCTCAAATTACTAATAATTTAAAATAATTGATTTATATCTTCTATAAATTGTGACTTGATTTTGATGAAAAACAGTTGATTATGATATACTATGCATTGTTTTGGGCAATTGCTACATACAGAATAATAACATGGGGAGGCACCTATGATACCACTTCGAATTCATTGCAGGATGTTCAAAAGAGCATCCGTAAGTTGATTTTCAGGTAAAATAGATTATATTCATCTGATGAGCTTTTTAAAAACTATTAAATGTTATCAATTAAGAAATTATTTTTGGAGAAATTCCTTCTGAATAATCGTTCTGTACTTAGGCAAAAATATAATTATTTGTGTGATAAGACAGTAGCACTGATAGTACCACCCACTGTTAAAAAAGAAATTGGTAGAAAAAGTCATGTTTATATCAGTTACAGAATATTTAATTTACTGAATGATGAAATAAAAATTATGAACCAAACTCCAAATATCAAGAATTAAAAAATCAGAGAATTCTTGATAAATCTCAATATGAATGCCATCACCTCAATTTTTACGTCCTTAAGTTAATTTTTATATCACTCATTCTGTCATTATTATATTTCATTTATATCAAATTTTGGTTTTAATTTTATTTTATTGAGTATATAATAAGCACCAAAATTATTTTGTGATTTGTAATGACTGTATGTGTTATAACTAAACATTTGATGTTATGGCACTAAAAACTTATGTTTTAGGTGCTTGTTATGAATACTAAAATGTTTTAAAAATGGCATTAAAAAAGGCAATAAAAACAAAAAATTGGAGGAAAAAAGCAATAACATATTTCACTGTATTTGTACCCCAAATTAGCCAATATTAAAAAACAATATAACAAGCAGGCAGAAGGAATATGCCCCTCACTTCCAGCAGAGATATAGGTCTTAATAATGAATATGTACTTCCCAGAAGAACATCTGGCATGGAATCTATGTTGGAAGTTGGGTTCAGCCTTGCCCTTTCACATATGAGCGTTTTGATTAAATCGCAAATCTGTTCTCATCATTCACCTATGCACTCATTACTCAATTAGAGTCCACTGCTTATATTTTAATTTTTTTTTTTTTTATTTATTGCAAAGAAATGCAATCTGATGCCAGAATACAAGTTTTTCAGATCTAAAACTTCAATGTGCAATGTAAATCGAAATGAAAGCTTCAGTTTGGACAAAAAAAGTTTCTTTATCAGTAACCAATTAATGTGATTAGTAAAATAGAAAATGATTTAAATGTGTATTTGTAACCAAGACAAGATAGAAATGTACATACATTTTAAAGGAAAAAAACATTTAAAAATAAAAAAAATATATCTAAAAAGGCAGTTACGACATAAAAAGTCCGAAAAACGTAGAATAAAAATTCATCAGAATGTTTAATTTCCCATCATTTGTATACATATATTAAATGCCTCTACATATTTTCATTAGTATAAAAGGGGCATTTTCATAAACATTTGATATCTAGTTATATCAGGCCTGCACACTGGATATATTTCCTCAGTGGATAATTGTAAAATTATTTTATTATTAGTCTGTTTAATAAATTGAAATTGAATATCACAAGAGACAACGAATATTTCCAAGCTAATGATACAAAAAGTATTCTTTAGCTTGCTGTCAGTAAATCTTCTATTACCAGGGGCAGAACAATGAAGGAACAATACCTCTCCTACTTCCCTTCGCCTAAGAAGAGACAATGCAATTCTTCAGTAAACTTTCATTCAATCTACAACTTACTTAAAAGAATTAAATGATGTTATTTTTATTCCTTAATAGTGAGGGACAGAGAAGTGGCTGAGCACAATTTTGTCACCTAACAATTTTGTCAGGCAAAAAAAAAAAATCTGTCCTTGATATGGCGGAATTCTTTTTAATACACACTGTAACGAGACTTGTGTACTATTAATGAATTTGGAAAATATGTTCAACATTGTGATATTTTCTTCAGTAATGATAAAACAATTCTTTAAAGAACCTTGGTGAGACGAAAATCTGAAATATTTGCTTCTTTCAGTACAGTTTTTTACTACATCAATTGATCTACATTCCACCATGACATTTTTCCTACAATTGCCCATGTAAAATACTGTGTTCTGCATATCTACAAGCATTTTCATCTACCTAATTACAGTAGCTTCCTGGTTTTTCAAATTGTGAACCAAAAACTGAAAAAGAAAAAAAAAAGAAAGAAAAAAAGAACAAAGAAAGGAAAGAAAAAAGAACAAAGAAAAAAGGAAAGAAAAAAAAGAACAAAGAAGAAAAAAGAAAGAGGAAAAAAATCTCTTCAAAGACCGTCTGGTAAAGAGTGTGGTAAGTCAAATGAGTGTCAATTGCGAGTCACAAAAAAGGGGAGTCCAAGTCGCAAAAAAGGGGAGTCAAATATGCAGCAATAATTAAAAGGCCAAATACAGGCATTTATTGGCAAATTTGTCAAGTTCATTAGAGAATTCTCTATAACATAAGATCAAAAGTAAAAAATCTATTTTTCTTTCAGAAAATTGCTTTCCTCTCCCCTTAAATACATTAGATGGATACACATGCTCTCTTCAAGACACATTTCAAGCCTGATTTTTCTGAAAAAGTTCGTCCTTGAGACATAACTTTCAATTTGTCCAAAATTAGTGACAGGCATAACAAAAATAATCTCTTATATGAAGTAGAAAAAAATTCTTTATGAATTTAAATTATAGCTAATGAATAAGATAAAACCTAAATAAATATTAGTAAAATGTGTTTTATCAAAATCACTTTAAACATTTACTTCAAATCAAATGTCATTGATCCAAACAAATAAACATAATTTTTTTCAAAAAATTATGAATGGGCTCTAAACCCTTAATTAATCCACTTCTTTCAATTATACAATTAAAAAACAATCACACATGCAAGCTTTTTAATAAAACCTACTATTACTGAATATTAGCTAACCTCGGATTACACTGCACAAAAGGAAGAACTAGAAAAATTAAAACCGAAAAGTACAACATGCACTCCACAGAAAATCAAAATCTTCCAAAACTGATGCAATAAAGGAGGTTTACAAATTCTGGGGCAGTATAATCACTTTTCTTTCTAAAAACAGAGATAAACAAGTTTCTGCAAATATCATTGCAATGTATCTTAATTTAGACCTGTACATACATCTTATAGTGGACAATTGTAGAATATCCTGCTATCCACCTTAACTTAAAAATATACTTCATCACTTATATTTGTCATTTGATTTGATTTACTTTATTAAAGAACAGTAAACATTGCATGTGATGTATGGGGGTGAAGTACAATCTGCACAAGTTTTCTTGAGCTCCAGAATCTCATCACCACTTTCTTACCATAAATAGTTAAATGATGAATAAGTTCCAACAAAGTAAGGTTAGCAACATTTAAAAACTTGACATTTTCGCTCCAGAAAATTTATTTGCATCAATAAATAAAAGACTAAAGATTTTATTTTTTAAGTATTCCTAACAAAGTAGTAAGCCATACCCCTGGATCTACTCTTACACTACTAGCAAAAGGAGAGCTTAAAAAATGTAGGCCAAGTGAAGATACAATAACGTCCAGAAACAAGGGTCTGTCACTACATTTGCTCAATGCATCAGAGAAATTGGACAAACACCTCATTGACTGAATCTAACCGTTGAAAAGTGTTTGTAAAGGGACATGTGCCTATTGATGTACATTGTGTTTATTTATATACACTCAGGAACCTTTGCATAAGAACAGTTAACCTTCAAATTTAAAATGCTAACTTTGCTTTCGCAACTATATAATATATTATATATAATACTACTATATAATATTAATATATAATTGAAATGTGGTCTGTTCTACATAAAAATGTAAGAACCTGTGATGACAATTGTAAATTGTAACTTACTTTTGGTTTCATATTTTTCGTTGTCTTCTCAGATCTGACACCAGGCATATCTACAGTAACTAATGAATCTTCAGCATTGTTTAATTCATTTTCCTTTGTTTTCATTTCACTCGACCAGTTCTTGAAAAATATAAATAACAAGTTCAGTTTACCAGCATCTAAACTGAGTCTTCAACTCAAAAATAAAACAATAGAATGAATTACCGCTAATTCATTATTAACTTGATTCCAATGCTCAACTTCCAACATATTTTTTGTTAACACAGGTTCTTCAACTCTAAGAACACGGCTGCTTGGCATAATTTCAGCCAGGCGATTCGCAGCACATTTTTCAAGATCTGGATATAATCCTTCTTCTCCAGATCTGAACAGCAGAAGGACAAAATAACCAACACATTTAAACAAGAAAATCGGTTACATTACTCATGTAACAAACATAATTTCACAGATAATAAATGCAATAAACAAACATATATAATAAATGCAATGATATTACATGAGTTGCAATAGCAAAATTTACAACACAATTATTCCATACAAAAAAAATCCTTCGCCAAAGGTATTCAATGCGACACGTTTCTTCAGCAACAAAAACATCTCGATTTAGATTTTTTTACAGTACTTGAAAACTAAAAAGTAAACTATCGAGATACCGACTAACCTCAAAATTTTGACAATGCGTTCCAGCTCTTTTCCATTGTTGCATTTTTTAACGTACTCGTAATTTAAGTGGCTAACAGGTATATCATATTTCTCAAGTAGGGTTCTTTTTTTCTTAGCTACCACTACATCGTCATCAGCCATCGCAGGCAATCGTTACGTCTCAACCAAAGTAGTCTTCCAATTTCACCACTGTATATTGCTTACACAATAAACAGTTTCAGGTGAAACAAGTGACACTCGCATTTACGCATGTATCAACAGTCTTCGTGATTCTGTTGCTATGGTAACAGCTTAGTGATGTATTATCCTCCCATGGGAATAATTCATTAATGAAAGCAACTTTCTTTGTTCTCGACTTTGGATAAACGTACGGCTCTGCCGGCTCAAAATTCTCAAAACATCGTTCCTGTATCGTTCTCGTCGATTTTAGTTCGATGGTTCAATCTCAGTCACGCGCGTGTTGGGTACGTTTAGCGCGTTTTCTGTGGTCAGGTCGCACGTGGCAGCTTCGGGCAGCTTGGAGGCAACCCGAAATAAGGCAACACACTGATACTAGTTTTAACCCTGAAAGATGGATGTTTTATCCATCATGCTTGTAAAAATAAGAAGTGCCGACTTTTGTAATAAATTATTTTAATTATTACATGTACTTCCACAATGGTATTCGCATGAGAATGTTTTTAATGAATTTATTATAATTACTTACATTATCTTTACTTATAATTTTTTCCCATATTACTTTTTAGAAGTACGGCGAATTCCAGAAAATTTCTCCAGATAATAGCCTGAAAATAATATAAATACATTTTAACCCATTTCCATTAATTTCTCTGGAAATTAGTTTTCCACTCCTACATTTTTAACTTAAACTACCATCTGTATTCTCTTTCATAAAATCTTAAATTATTGTTTTCAATCTACTAAGATGGTGGATCTACTAAGAGGTTTTGTTTGGCTTCCTTTATTTGGCAAAATTGATTTACAAATTTATTTATGTTCAAATCATCTAATTTTTTATACAATAATATTGTGTAAATCATATCTACTGTATATAAATAATATACAATACAGTAAGAAATATGTTTATTATTTAACAAAAATAAATGATTCCCCCCTCTCCAAATAATTGACTGGATCTCGCAATTCCAATTTCAATAAAAATAAAATATGTATACTTATTAAAATCTCAACATAATGTTTTTGGCTTAACATTACTTTCTCTGTATTATGAAAACAAGTAAGTGAAAACTATAAATTAACTTGAATATTGAGGAGAGATGTGTAACAAAAATTTATTGAATAAAAAATGTATTTTTTGAATATTGAATCAACACATCATCTTCTTCTTTTTCTTCCCCCTTTTCTTCTTCTTGCCGCTCTCTGATACGACTCTAACCAGTAGGTCGTGGGTTTTCGAGTCCTGAAGGTCAAGGATTTTCGACACGAGCTACATACCTAGGTCAAATTCAGCCGCTGTCCAGGGGCGGATCCAGAGACAATTTTTGGGAGGGGAAATTATGTTTTTGGTCCAATGTGTCATATTACAGGGTTTGTAAAATGTTACAGGCTAGACAACGCATGCAGCGATACGATTTTATTCGTTTTAATGATTATCCGAAAATATTTTTGCTTGAACGTTTCGTGCCAAGTTAAAATTAATAGGTACTGAAACATTATAGGGGGTGAAATGTCCCTCCCCGTGAATCCACGCCTGCTCTGTTTAGAAGAGAATTCTAACGGCTGGCTGATCTGATCTGATTAGTCGTCCCAGATTTCTCCGATCAATGCCAGGTCCCAGCTGGAGTGGTGGTTATTTTATAGTTTTCACGAACGCGGTACGAACACTATTACCACATGTCGGGAGACCAGTCGGAAGTTTCGAGCTTCTCCCTCTCGAGCTGGGGGAGATATCTGAAGCGGGAAATCACCCAAGCCGACGTGTAGGTCGGTACCGGATATCTCCATCCAGCGGCAGAGGAGCACTTACCTCTAGGCTCAAAAACTCTCTCTACACAATCAGGAGAAATTACCGCAGCAGTTGACGTGTCCGGAAACATCAATTAATAATTCTCCTTAATCTTATCTTCGTCATTTCTCCTCCTCCCTTCCCCCGCTTCCTTCTTTGCCTTCAGCTCGCTGATAACCGCGGATAAAAAGGAGCGCGATTTCCAAGAGATTATATTTCTGTTCGTGGATTTCGAAATTTGAAGAATGTGATTGGTCGACACGCAGTGGAAATCGTCAAATGGCGGATTGATTTGTCACGTCTTGGTAGATGCTGTAATGTTAATAGAAAAACGCGCATGGTGATGTTAAAGATGAATAAAATTAGTGTTTACAAATAATATGATTGAGTTTCTAAAGATACCTTTTTCGCAACTATCTTACAATGAAAGAATATTCTGAAAATATTAAGGTTTAAGGTGCGTCATCACTACTTGATATTTAACACCAACAGATTGAATCCGAAACGTATACCATATTGAGTACTGCAACATTGTATTTGTAATTTATGTTGATTGTTACAACATAAACATTGTATACACACAGGCTAACAAGCCGACAAGGTTTTTATATCAAAGAATATACTGATTCAGATTAGTCAAGTACAATACAGCCGATAGGTTGCAAATTAAGAACTGTATATAAGCCCGAACTACCACATGCATTTTACCTCTTCAAAATAGTTCTTAAGTAAGGAAAACTACAGCATGTAGTGTACAATCAATTTGCACACATCGGGATTTTAATCACTGTCTAAGACAACGTTTTACGTTGATAACGGAAAAGATACATTTGTGCTCACGCGAAAGAAAGAATTTTTCAAAAAAATAATTCCAACGAAGAAAACAGTAATTTATGGAATCAAATGGTTAGGATTGGTATTCTTAGCGAAATTAATAAGTGCGGACTCTACGGAACAAAACCCTAAAAAACACACACACGCTGCCCCAACCCAATTCCTACTATCCCCACTCTTCCTCAAGCTTCCATTGCCTGTGCCCACATGTGCCAGCGACAAACAGATAGTCCTCGATACTCTATTCTAAAAACATTTTCTTTTGCTTATGCGGGCATTTAAAACTAAATTTGACTTCAAAAATTACGCTGGTGGTATGTACAAATTAAACGAGTCATTTATTGAAAGTTAATACTCTCTGCAACTTTTCTCAAGATTGGTTTCTCTGGAGCCCTAGAGCCCTTAGGACCAGCCGCCACTAGCCAATTTGAATTACATGAACTTTGCATTATCATTATACTCGTATTTTTCGTAGTTATTGCTTGTATTACTCGCGCAACTTTTCTTGAACGATGACCTTGAACCCCCTCCCTTGTGCAAGAAACAGTTGAACGCTAAAGCTCGCAGCGGACACTGATGACAACCTTCCAAGCATTGAAACTTCGTTGGCGCGAAACAGATGCTAGTCAAAGCCAGTTGCTTTCATAATGCAGAACGCCTGTTCAGGTTTATTGTCAATATCGAAAGAAATGGCTGAGTCAGGTTCAGGTCCTTCAAGGGAGTCACCTAAAATTCCCGAAAAAGTTAAGCACAAGATGCAGTTTTGACTTTCATTTCACAGACGTTGGCATTACTTAAAATAATCTAGTGGCCTACTTTGTCACTAATACCCCCACTCCACCCGTAATCGTCAATCCATCGTTCAAGAAAAGTTGCCCGAGTGATATCAGGATTGCATTTTTACTGTTTTTTCATTTGGATTTTTCATTTTTTCAACTAAAAATTCCATACAGGACGGTTCAGGTTCTACATAAATGTACCAATAATGCACGATGCATATTTTAGCATAAAAAAATATTAGTTTATATTAATGTGAACCGACGCTGGTCATCAAAATCACTTTCTGCTATCGGTGCGGCGTTGCAACAATGTGTTGCAACAAGCACTAGTGACCGCTAATTCATATGAGCTACACATTTTGCTAATTAGCATTTTTGATAACGATAGCAAGAAAATGAAAATGGATAGAAAAAATATAAAAATTAAATATAATATTGTTAGATTCATCAAAACTTCTCGATTTTTACACGCATTCCCACATATTATGCAACGCGAAATCATATACTCGTCTTCACTTTTCTCTCAATTAAAGTTCATAATTTAAAATAGATTTCATTATTACATAATATTAAATGTACTAATCTTCCTTTTCAAGATTCGAATGAACAGCCTCATAATGATTCCATGTCAAAGTTCAAAAAAGAGAAGAATTCAAGACATTTCATCACCTTATCATGTCGCCGTTCAATAATGAACTTCTCAAATTGACATCGATGCATTGTTTCTCAATGCGGCATAAGTGGTAATATGAAATTAAAGTTAAAATGTTCATACAATTTTATGGCACTCAATTTTTTCAACTTTCCTTTCATAGAAAATATTAGAAATAATGCTAATATAATTCACAACCCAACCAATTGAAACGTGTGGTGAATCCCTGAGTTTATTTCGATAGCCAAGAACATGAGCAATTTCTAATTTTTACAAATGAAATATACCATAATCAACTATCAAAATTTCTTGAAATAAAGAAGTGTGTTTCATAGTTCTCTGTTACATTTATTACATTCCTTCAATATAATTTATTTTATAAGAATAGCAATAGGCTCCATACACTTTTTATATTACGTTAACAAAGTGCAGGCAATTCGAAGCGGACAACTATGACTAATTACCCCAAATATACTCATATTTTTGGAAAAATAACAAATGAACTTATTTGAAGATCTGTTTTTGATGAACGCATTAAGCAACTAGTGGTGCTACGAATGGCACAGCCTTTCTCGTAGTAAAACTTTGCAAAATTCTTGGGGTGGGCTAATATCGAAATAGATTTTCCGCAGCATTTCTAACTTTTCCTTTACTACATATATTACTCCGTATACACGTATGTATACCGGAAAATATTGCTTGTATTTCACGCAAAATTGCGCCGCAAATACTCAAATTTTTGAAAAATTGGACATGACCTTAATTTAAAACCTTTCTTTAAGGAACGTATTTCATTGAGGGGAAATATCTCTATAATATTTTAGTTCGACATACACTGAAAAATGTTGGCATTTTGCAATTTTCGAAAAATCAGGGTTTTCAACAAACATGAGACCTGTGCCATTCTCTTAAACGTCTTTTATACTATCAAATAACAAAGTTTGGTAAAAAACGTTGGAGTCATTTTTACTTTCCCGTATACGGGGTAATAAACGCAGTACATGGAAAGTTGCGTAATAGTTGCGGAAAATCGATTTCGAGATTTCAAATGGTTCTAAATTTTTTATTTGAACATTTGGTATGGATATTACTAAATATACTCTATAAAGCCCGCTTTACACGGTCATTTTTGCATCATTTCTCGTCGGTACAGACAAGTTACTGACCAGACTGGATGCAATTTGTACGTAAAAATGAAGCATGCTTCATTTTTCCATACAAATTGCATCCAGTTTGACTATGGCGCTCCTGGTGTTGCTCTATGGAACTTTCTTCGATTCCGTGCCCTGGAGAG